CCGTCTACTAACAGGGTATGGAAGTTCCTTGGTTGGGCTTTATTGTCTTTCACACAGTACATAGTTGCGTTGCTTTGCCATTTTGAATATTTACGTCTATGTTCACTTAGATTGTCTATAGAGATTAGTCTATAATATAATATCTTTTCTCAAACTGTCCATGCTGATTTTGGTGTATCAGGATTGTTCTAATCATAAAAATTGCTTGTCTTTTCTTATTTTTCTGATCTGTGAAAAAATCGGTGTGCGAGAGATTATCTGGGCTGGTGAGTTTGGGGACAGGATCACTTATTCAGTTTCTTTAATGGTGATCGGCTTGTTCAGGTTTGCTGAATGATCTTAACCATGTTTTGTTAAATTTTACATTTAAAGAAATGATCGACTTGGTTTACATTTAAAGATTTTTAAAAATTGATTGTAATTAGTCTTTTTCATTCCTGGTATTGTTCGTGGCCTTTTTGTGTCATTTCTTGGATTGGTTTTGCCAGATGTTAGTTTTATTAGGGTTTTTGAGGAGCTCAATTTTGGTCATATTGATTCTTTTCATTGTTTCCTTGATCTTTTTCTCATTTTCTTTCTTTAGATTTACATGGTCATTTTTTAAGTACGTCGAGTCGATTTCTCATTTCTTCAGTGAAATGTAAACTGCATCTCACAAATTATGTATATGTATTTTTATAGTCATTCAGCAACAAGTGTAATTTCCATTGTGATTTACTCTTGACCTCGGGAGTTATTTAGAAGTGCATTTTGAAAATTTCTAGCATGTTTGGTTTGGCGTTTTATTGCTTGTTTCAAATCTAAATGTTGTCAGAGAACATGATCTTTAAAAAGATAATGATTCTTTCAAATTCCTTGTGAGTCAGAATTTGGTCTTGTAAATGTTTGGTAAGTAGTCTGTGTGGCTGAATAGATGTGTGTTTATTTGGAGCAGGATTTCATATATTAGATCTAACTATATTAGATTAAGTGTGATAATTTAAAGCTTCTATATTCTTTTTTCCTATTTGATCTGTTTCTGATAGAGTTGTATAAAAATCTCATACTGTGATTATGAATTTGTCTATTTCTCCTTACAGTTGCTGGATAAAAAAATCTGATAACTTTTGCTTTTAATAGGTGAATTAAATCATTTACACTTATAGATACTGATACGTTTGGATTTATTTAGAATATCTTGTATTTTTTGTGCGCCATCATTTTCTTCTTACCTTTTCATCTTCTCTCCACATCTTACAGAATAGATAGTTTCCTAATCTCTTTTTTCTTTCCATTCTTTTATGGTTAACCTGAAGTATTTAAGATACTAAATGAATATGGATTTTTTTTATGGAAAAAATGGTTACCTGTATTTCTATTCTCCTATTCATGATGAAAGCTTTAGTGTAAATTAATTACGCATTGAACAGGAACGGAAGAACACACCAACCCCATCTGGGGCCGTTTTGTCCATTTCTAACACACATGCTTTCCTCACACATGTTGGTTCGTTAGTTGCGGCATTTACATTCTTGCAACATTGCACTTCTTTCAGTGAGGGGTTGTAGATGGTAAACCTCAGTGTGTTTATGCGAAAATGTCACTTATTTTGCCCTAGTCTTAAGTGATAGCGTAGCTGTTTGTTATTTCCCTCGGGTCTTTGAAGATAATTGCTCCATTGTTTTCAGGCTTCTGTTGTTCCAAGTAATTTGTCCATAGCTGCTGGTAGATCTTACATTTGTCTCTGTCTTCTACACAGTACAGTTTCACTATGCTATACCAGGTGCTGTATCCAGATTAATTTTGATTTTTACTTTTAATGATTGTCTCCAATATTGCTTCTCTACCATGCTCTCATTTTTCTTCTTTTTGAGCCTTATTTTATTATGAGGGTGCTGGGGCCACTCATTCAAGTTACCATTCCTCTAAATTCTTTTTTCAGATTTGTGTGGCATCCTGGGTGAATTTCTGATCCTACCTTCCAATTTAGTACTTTACTACTTCACTCTTTGCCAAGTGTTCAATCTAGAGTGGCTCCTACAAATTACATTTTTAATTTCAGGGACAACATCTCAGTTTTAAGAGTCCTAAATGTTTTCTTAGCTCGGCTTAGTTCCTTCCTCACAGCTTCTGATAAAACTGCAATTCTGAATGCTTTTTTTTCAGCATGTTTTCTTGATCCCAAACCTCAGATCTACTGTAGTAAATGGGGCTTACCCTACAGGAGCCGGACTCCCCACAGCCACGGTCTAGTTCCTGTGCTGGCTCCCAGAAAGCCTGCAGTTTGAGCCTGGCAAGTGCCTCCCTCCCCACATAGTGTTGCAGCCTCTCCCAGTGGCTCTTGAAACTTATCTAGTACTTAAGCTTGGCTTTTTGGTTTTATCACTTTGTTCTGTAATTGACATGAATCGGAGTGGAGGGGGTTTCGAAGTGGGAACTCTATGATCCGGAAGTTCCCTTGGATGGCTCTCATAGGCCACTGACCAGCATGGCCGGGCCACTGAGAATGTGGGGAACACCCTGAGCCTACTTGAGGCAGTTTTCAGAAAGAGCCATTTAAATTTGGCTGAGGACAAATCTTTCTATCATGTGGTTTCTCACACCATTGAATCTTATTTCCTCATACTATTAGGGTTCAGATTTGCTTTCTATCTTGAACTACTTGGGGAAAGTTTCATAATGTCACTGTACCTATTTCTATATCTGTAAAATGGGAATAAGAAAGCACATACACAAACTGCAAAATCATAACCACAATAAGTTAACATCCATCACTTTGCAATATATATGTCAAGTCATGCTGTACATTTGTACATATACAGGGCTATATGTTTTTATATCAATAAAAATGAAACAAACTATTGAACACAAAAGGCTCTGGGAAGTTAAATAATACATTAAGATCATGTAGATAGGTACCGGCATATAATTTAAGCTGTTTTTATAATTAATGGTTAGAAGAACTTAATGAGAAAGTTGGTATTACCTTTTTAGATATGAAAATGTGATATTTGGGCTCGAGATGTGGTTACATAGAGGCGGTTTTTCTGATCTTTACCTTGAAATGGGGAGCCTACCCCCCTAACACAGCATGGTCAGTCTTATATTCTCCTTGTCTCTGAAAACATCCCTGAATTTTCACTAAAATCTATTTTTGCAGTTAATTGTCTCATGGTTTTATGTATGTTAGTTTCATCCTGGCTAAATAGGTGACTTAAGGCCAGGAATTTTACGTTCTACAACTAACTTTGATCCCTATCCAGGAGGGACACAGGTAAGAAAGAGCTCAGTATGTATTTATCGAGTGAATTATGATAAAACAACTCAGAAATCTGAATGTGGTCAATAAGCAGGAATACAACTTTTGAGGCAAAGGGCACTTACCCAGGTCTTCATTTCCATCGCCTGGTGCAAGAGGATAGTGGCGAGGGAGATGGTGTTGATGGGTGTCCCGAAGGTGAAGACGTCGATATCAGAGTCCTTGTAGGTCTGCAGGGGAAGAACAAACAGGCATCGTCAGACGTGCCTGTGGACCCAAGGCCTCGGCTTGGATGTGGCGATTATAAAGCATCCCTGAAGGCAAGTGTCAAGGGGAGTGAGTGGGCAGGGAGGAATGGGGAGAAGCTATCCTGCTGCCATCTGTGTGGAAATGATGCACAGAACAGATGAGATGAGGAGTTGACAGGGCTAGATAATTTAGAAACACATTTCACAGGAAGCCATGATGGGTATACAAGAACATTCGAAATGAACGAAGGAATGAATAAATTTACTGAGCACCCACCAGGTACGATGCCAATTGCAAAAGATACTTTTGTGTCCGCTTGCAAGGAGTTTATAGTTTACCTGGCAGGGCAAATGTAGTACAAATTAAGGGGGTAAATGTCATAATGGAGACAAGTACAAGGTACCCTGGGAGTACAGAAGGGGGGCTACGTCAGCTGAGACTGTAATAAGAGGAGTTGATCTCTTGGAGGGGGAAAACGCAGTCCAGTGAAAGGCCAGAACTAAGGGTACAATGTGGTAAGTCTGTTGAGCACACACAGAAGCAAAAGATTCAGCAGAAAAGACAAGCAAAAGCCTGGCAAGGGAGGGTACTGCAAGGCAGGAAATTCAAACAAAGCACAAATGTCCTTGCCCTCAACCCCCCATCGCATAGCAGAGGCCAGGCAGACACTACAGTTTGCCTGGTAGCAATTACCCCGCATCCTGGTTACCCGTCCCAGAAAAACACATATATCCTTCACTATCTAAATTCTCACTGTTAACTGGGAAACCAGATTTAGATAGGATTGGTAGCTTTGCTATCTGCATTCTTGCTTTTATTTTAAATAATGTTGTATTCCTTATTATCAGAATTTGCTGCCTTTACCTTGGAAGCACAGATATAAATCGTGGGTTACAAATTCGAATACCTTCAGTACTCAAGTAGGAAACAGTGAGTGAAGAAGGCCAGGAATAAGACAAGAGGGAGTGGTGGGGGCTTTGGCAAACTGGAGAATATGGGCTCTATCTAAAGAGTCTGTGAGTCACCTCTGGATTTCTGCCATGAGGGAAAAGTGATCCAGTGTAATGACTGCTTTCAAGTTTTCAAAAGCTGGCAGAAAGTAAAATGGATAAAGAGTTCTTTTTAGATATCTTGGGTTGGATGTAGTTCACAGGCCCCCTGTTTGGAGCCTCTAAAGTGTCCGGAAAGTCACTATTAGACTAGGATTTCATATAAACAGGACCAATTCTACCTTGTGATTTGTATGGTTAGAATGGAACTATATGACTTACCAGGTAAGGGATAAAGAAACAGATGAGGCTCTGGTAGAACGCATCCGCTATGGAAATCCAGAAAGTCAACGGGTTATAACACTGCAGGAAAGAATGCACCAACAGTTACTACCACCAGAATCAAGAATTAACACTGTTCTTTGCAAGCAACTTTATGTGTTGTTGGGGCAGACAACATGGCACCCACAGTGCCTTTTATCTTAGAGGCCATAGAGTGGAGTGATTAAGAGCATAGACCTGGGGGTGACAGACCTCAGTTCAGGTCCCAGCTCTTTCACTAACTGTGTGAACCTGTGAAAGTCACTAAACTGCTTTGAGAATTGGTTCTTCTTCCATAAAAAGTGAGTAAAAACAACACCAACAATTTCTTTGGGTTTCAAGAAGTCTAAACGTGATTGTGTTTCTTACCTTATAAGCATACGTTATTGTGATCTAAACTTGTTATCAAAATTAAAAATGGAATAAATACTTAAATGTTAGACCTGAAACCCTAAAACTCCTATAAGAAAACATAGGCAGTAAACTCTCTGACATCGCTCTTAGCAATATCTTTTTGGATATATCTGCTCCGAGCATGGGAAACAAAAAAAATAAATAAATAAATGGGACATCATACTAAAAGGTTTTGCACCGTGGAGGAAACCATCAATAAAACGAAAGACAACCTACTGAATGGGAGAAGATATTTGCAATGATACATCCAATAAGGGGTTAACATTAAAAATTTATAGACACCTAGGTTGCTTTCATATCTTAGCTATGAATGCAAGTAACTTAATACTAAAAAAAACCCCAACAATCTGGTTCAGAAATGGGCAGAGGACCTGATTAGACATTTCTCTCAAGAGGACATAGAGAAGGCCAACTGACATATGAAAAGAAGCTCAAGGTCACTAATCCTAAGGGAAATGCCAATTAAAACCACAATGAGCTAGCATCTTACACCTGTCAGAATGGATATCATCAATAAACCAACAAATAAGTGTTGACAAGGATGTAGAGAAAAGGGAACCACTGTACACTGTTGGTGGGAATGTAACTGGTGCAGCCGCTATAGGAAACAATATGGAGTTTCCCCAAAAAACAGAACTACCATATGACTCAGCAATTCTACTCTTGAGTATATATCTAAAGAAATCCAAAACACTAATCCAAAAAGACCTATGTACCCCTATGTCATTGCAACACTGTTTACAATAGCTAAGATATGAAAGCGACCTAGGTGTCTGTTAATAGGCAAATGGATTAGGAAGGTGGTACACAGAAACAATGGAATATTAGCCATAAAAAATGAAATATTGCCGTTTGAGACAATATGGATGAACCTAAAGGGTATTATGCTAACTGAAATAAGTCAGAGACAAATACTGTATGAACTCACTTATATGTGAAATCTGAAAATAAAAACCAAAATAAATGAATAAACAAAACAGACCCCTAGATACAGAGAACAAGCTCATGGTTGTCAAGGGTGGGGGGAGTGTGAGAGCATGGGAATAAAATTAAAAACACCTTTTAATAAAAAAAAACTTGGTAATATTAGAGATTCTAAGGTGTCTAAATGGCTCTTGAAAGGATCTCATAGACCAGGATCACAGGTTGCTAAGAGCTCAATGGCTTTGGAGACAAACCTTCTCATTCTGTGCTTTTCCCTAGGAGAAGTGAAACTACGGTTTATGCTTTTGCTACATTAGCTGCTTTTAATGTTAGATACTCAAGGCCATTATCCAGCCAGCACACCCATGGGAAAGGGACAATCAGAAGGGCCCAGGATGTGCATGTGCCATCACCACGTCGCCCTTGCCTGAAGTCCTGGGGGTTGCTCTGTTCTCCCATCTGGGTATAGCCAGGGCAGTCCCCACATTAACGGGCGATCTAACTAAGAAATCACTAGAAAGAAAAATACTCACTGGTCATCACCCTCAAGAGCAAATGAGAAACAGGCCATGAATGGGGAGCAAAGTTACTCGTCACGTGGGAGGTAAGTGGTGGAATGGTGCCTGGAACACTGGGCTTCTGACCCCAACACAGCACTTTTTCTCTGACATCTCTGGGGTGGGGTTGGGGGGCAGGGAGGTCAGAGAGAAGCCCGGGCCATCTCCCTCTGCCCGCCTGAGCCCCTTACCTCAGAGTTCTGGCCGCTCTTGTACAGCTCAGGCAATGCCAGGAGTGTTTCCGCAGAGATGTCCTTGTCAAGGACGCCGAAGACGAGAGGAGGCAAGGAGGTGAAGAAGAGATTGAAGAATATCATCTGCCAGTAATCGATCATGGTGGAGCCCGAGAAGCCGCAGAAGAACTGGTACCAGAAGAGCAGGTTGACGTAGCACTGTAGGCAGAGAGTGTGGCCTTGTGAGCGAGGACCTGTGGGCAGCTGGTCATCAACTGCTGCTTAAAGCCTCTGACAAGGCACGACACTGACTTGGAGCTTCAGTTTCCTCAATTGTGACGTGTGAGCAAGGCCTGCAGATAACATGAATCCTGATGCCGTCCCTACTGACTGGTAGGTACTACAGCTGACACACTTCAGGACCCTGTGACAGTCAGGGCACCACGATGGCTACGAGCACAGCTCTCAGAGGCAGAGAGGACTGGTTTTGAATCCCTAGTTGTGTCACTTACTAGCTGTGTGACCTTGGGCCAATTGCTTAACCTTTCTGAACATCACCTTGCCATCTTTCCGATGGGAAGAGTACTGCCTAGACCATGGCAGCAGCAATTAGCAGTGTAGGAAGAGGAAGGGTGATAAAAGACTGGACCAGGGTCAGGGAGCCTGGTGAGAAGATGACGTCACAGAAGGTTTATCTCACCGTACTTCTCATGGTCATGAAACTCAGAACATTTTCTTATCCACCCTCCTGTTGCTTTAGGCTTTCTAAAGTGCTTTCCCACTTAAGAGCTGCCCTTCTCCCCAACCTCCCCAAGGGGCTGGGTCCCTATTATTGTCTACCATATTGCGATGTGGCTGGGTGACTTGACTGAGGTCACGTAAGCAGCTGGTCTTGGAGCTAGGCCTAGATCTTCTCTACTCTGTGTGGCTGAGGCAGGTTTGTGTTCAAACTAGAATTCTCATTCTCTAACTGCTGGGCCAGCGTTATTTTGAAGAGGCTCTGTATTATTACTACTACTACTACTATTACTACTATTACTAATAAAAACATGTTAATATTATTACTATTAGTAACGCCAATAATTATTATTTGAGTGTCTATTCGTGCCAGGTATGTGATATTATAGTATATTAGTATATAGTATACAGTATGGGCAACATACATAATTTGTCCCAACCTTGTAAGATTAATACTATATTAATATACTTTGATGATAATGTTACTAACTTTAGTCCAGATGAGGAATCTGAGCCTCTAAGATGCTCAGTTACTCCTTGCCCAAGTTCAGAGCTAAAAAGTGGTACAATCAGCACCTGAGTTTTCATACCTTTTTCTCTTTGACCCCTCTCAAGCCTTCTCAGTCTCAACCTTGGAATAATATCGCAATCACGATGCTGACTGAGCTTCTTCCAGCCAAAGAGCTCCATCCTTTGGCTTTTCTGCCCAGATGGCTAGGGGGAAATTTCCTGGCTCTGAAGGAGATCTGTCCCCACCCCACACGGCTGTTAGCACCTGCTATCATCATTTCATCATTGCCATCATCTAGTTTAATCTGAACACATGAAGCATTTACTATATACAGGGCGCTGTTCTAAGCACCTCACACACATTAACTCATATATGCACATAATAACCCTGTGAGTTAGGCAGTGTCTCCATGTTACAGATGAAGAGACTGAGACACAAAGAGCTTAAATTAATTGCTTAAGGACATATTGCTATTAAGTGGCAGAGTGGGGCTGGGATTTGAGCCCAGCCTGGCTCGAGCTCATGCTCTGAGCCCCCATAGATAAGTACTGCACTTTCTCTCATGGTTACACATGTATGCAAAGTTCTTAGCACGTGGTTGGTACATAATAGGTTCTCTGTAAATGGTGGTGGATGTTACTGTTGGTAACTTGGTACCAAGCAGTACTGAGTACCAAGGAAATAGTACAGAAATCTGTGGTGGCGTGGAGAGCTCTGGGAAGTGGGTGTCACAGAGCGAGCATTAAGCTCCTTGCCCTACACCACACACACCATCAATACTGAAGGGCTCCAACTCAGCCCTGGTCAGAGCAATAAAACAAACACTATGAGCTTCGATATCTTTGACTCAGGTTCCCATAGAGATGTCGTTACTGAATTATAATTTAATGTTTTTATTCAGGGTTGTTAGAAAAAAATGGCTACTCTATGGAAGTTAATTTTCATTTCCTACAAAAATGCCATGGAAAACAAGTTCCTGAAGGTTTCTGTGTGACCTTTTTCTAAGAGTTTGCTTGACAAATTGATCTTTGAATTTAGATTTAAGGGAGCATTTTGTTTTTTTTTTTTTTCCCCAGAGAACTGCTCTGCTTGTTTGAAGCAGACATTTAATACTTAACATCTTATCCCCAGGTCCTGGTGCAATTAACTTTCCTCTCTACGGTTCCTGATCCACGGCCTTCTATTTCCTCTCTAGCTTCCCCATTGCCTTGGTGTTTTCACTGTGAGTCATTTCGTTGTTCTAGCCCCGTAACACTCATGCCGGAGTTTTGACATTAAAGAGCGTCTTCGTCCTCCGAGGCCCTGCTAGGACCTTGCCGACTGCCCCTTCCTCTGCCCGGCTGGAGTCTGGGCACCTTGTAGGGAGAGCACTGGACCTGGTCTGGTGATGGCAGCGCTGAGACTGGGCACCTGCTTCTCCTCCCAAGAAGCTCCAGTGCAGTAATTAATTCATTGTGCACGTTTCAGAGCAGGCAGAGTTTTAATCCTCTCCGAAATTGGTTTCGGATGTGGAAGTCATAGTTCTCCACCCTCTAATTGCAATGGGGAGATAACGCAGCGTCAGGATCGCAGTTCCAAGCACAGCATCGGGCTGGAAATAAATATCATTTGAGCTCCGAGAGCATGGCTGGCTGGAACGTTTCCTTTTCTATTTCAAAAATTTAATGCAGAAAGGAGGCTGTGCTTATTCAAAAGAACGATTCCTTTGGAAGCCAAAAAAAAAAAAAAAAAATTGAATGGAGGCATTTTTAATTCTAAGTAAACAGTCTCATGCTCAGAGTGAGTTTCAAGTCAAATTGAGTGACTTTGCATAGGCTTCCTGAAATATTACCACCAATTTTTGGCCATGCTGATTATATATATGTGTGTGTGTACACACGTACACACACACACACACACATTAAACGCTGTGTAAAAATGCTCACTCCTGAGCGAGAGTGAACTTCCCCAGCAGGACAGAGAATGGAACAAGAGGGAAAAAAATAAAATTTTGTTCTGCTATGTGGCTAATGTGTTTTTCTTCCATCACCCTGGTCTTAATCTTTCCTCTTTCTTCATGCAAATAGGAATGGGTTCTATTTGGAGATTTGGAGAATTATTCAAAGGTCCTTGAACTAGATAATGACAAACTCAGGCCCTTGTTGCCTTAGTCCAGCGCTCTGACTTCTCCCTCCAGCCACTAACGAGGGGCTTTCAACCAAGAGCCTTCGACAGCTTTCACGCCTCAGCCGGCGTGTGCCTGATCCGCACCCTCAGCAACCAGACAGAAATGAACGTATGTTTCAGGAGAAACAGTCATATCTCCCCATGATCGTTTGTATAGTGCTACGTGCATTCCAGAGCTCCAACACTAAGGCCACCGGATAATACCTGTAGGGACAGAGTCACAGTCTCCTCATATTACTGACAAAACCGAGGCTCAGAGAGGCGAAAAAAACATGGCATCCTGGAGGCAGGCAAGACTGAAACCCAGATGATCTCCTCGCTCTAAACATTTTTGTTTCGATATTCAGTGTCCTGACGCCTGTGAACTCCCTGCTGGGAAGTGACATGGAGGGTCTCAGGTGGAAACCAAGGACTCTGTCTTAAATCCTTACTTTCCCAAGGGGTGGGGGTATGGCTCTTGCATTTAGGTGGCTCTGTCTGGGGAGGAAAGCTAAGAGAAATGTCACACTAGTTCTTCAAATCCTTCTCTGCAGTCAGAAAATAAATCTCGTTTGTGGAGCCCCTCTAAGTAACAGCAGCAGCAACAGTGATGGCTAACTATGGGGTAATTACATGCCAATCACTTTATATAATGAGCTTTCATTTACTGTTCATAGCAAATACACGAGAAAGGTGCCATCACCAGCCCCATTTTACAGAAGGCAAAACTTAATGGCTCTACCCCTTACCAGACACGGGAGCCTAGACCCGAACCAAATGTGTGTGACTCCAGAGTCCATGTCTGTAACTACTCATGCTCCTTCTTATGTGCCAAGTACTTTGCATACATTACCATTCCTCACAGTAATTGCACAAAATAGGTAGCATTAGCCCCATTTTATCAAAGAAGAAATTGAGGCCCAGAGAAGTGCATTGTCACAGTTCGCGAGGGGCAGTATCGGGCTTCCAACTGCAGGTCAGCACAACGCATTGTCATGCTGAGACCCTTTGTCCACCACCGTGGAAAGAGTTGGTTCCCGGCAAAGACTTCCAGGGCCCAGGTGGGAGGTCACCGTGGGCTACTCACCACGTTCTTGTAGAAGTAGTACACCACCATCCGGGCCAGCCGCGAGTAGCACCAGTGGCCGTGCACGAGCAGCAGTTTCTTGAGGTGGCTGAAGCGGGAGATGGCAAAGTCGCTGGACATGACGGCCTGAGAGGGCGAACAGAGACCTCGGCTTCAGTCCCCGCTACCAGTACCAGTACCAGTGTGCTAGGGGCTCCCTTAAGGGCGATCTGCACATGGGCGGGTCTGAAAGACCCTCTGCCATTACTCGGTGCCCTTGCGGGGGCTCCTTGGACTCTGACTTCCCATTCTCTCCTCTGGAAAATCTAAACCTCACGAGACTCCAATAAGGGCAGGCCAGGAGGGGACAGTGGTCTAGTTTGGCCCATTTCCTTTCATTTATCCAACAGGCATTTATTGTGGCCCAGTCTGTCGGGCCCCATGCTAAGGAACGGGAGGGCAGGGCCTTCCGTGCAAGTAGTCCTCAAGCCTCAGCCCATGCCCGGCCGCTTCCTGAGCAGGCCATTCGCTCCACTCTCAGACGAAATGTGTCTTCTGCCCTTGGGGTTATTCAGAACAAGACCCAGTTCCTAGCACCCTTTTAAGAGTATGAGGTTTGGACAAGCCTGGTTATAAATCCTGGTATGTATTTTGGTCAGGCTGTTTAAACTCTCTCTGCCTCAGTTTCCTCATCTGAAAAAAAAAAATGGAATAATCATTCCTAATGCACAGGGTTGTGGTGATTGTTAAAATTGGGATAATACCTGTAAAGTGCCTAGTAGAGTACTGGCATAAGGTAAATGTTTTTTCAGCCAACAAATTTAGGCAGTGACTAAGGTCTGCCAGACACTCAAAAGGTAAATGTTCTTTCAGCCAACAAATTTAGGCAGTGACTAAGGTCTGCACTGGTGGTGGGAATAGTTATAAATGGTTCAAAACCACAGCTTGAGGCCTGTTTTAATAGGAAGCATTAGCAGCTATTTAGTATGCTTCTTCCAAGCCAGATTTTGACTAAATCCTTTACACTATTAAAGTGTACCAAGTAATTTATAGCAGTCTAACCATCAGGACAAACATGGCAACTGAAAAATGTCATCCAATGTTCTCGTACCTGCCACTGTTCGTGGAGGGAGTTGCGACTTTGGCTGTGGGTGAGGTTCTCGGGAGGAAAGCATGGGGTAGCCTTCCCTGAATGGCTTTAGGACACAGGCATCACCAGCTGTCTGTGAAAAGCCAAGAGCCCTTTGACCTCCCTGTGTTCTGCAGGACGGGGCAGTAGGGAGGTGGTGATGGAGGTTATGTACAGGCATGGAAGCCCCTGACGTTCAGATGGTAATTCTGCAGAGCTCTCAGGGAGAAGTTCCCCCAACACTTCGAGGAACGCCTTAACTCTCCAATAAGGATCAAGGAGAGTAAGGAGGAAGCAAGGACAACTGAGGGGACAGTACCTGCATGCCCTCCTGTCCCGATATTCCTATCCCGACATCAGCAGCTTGAATCATGCTTACGTCATTTGCTCCGTCACCTGAAAGAAGAGAGGCCATGAGGTATTTTTATCCCTGATCCAGCTGCTGTGGGACACTGAGAAGGGTTTTGTACCAGTGGTTCTAAAGTGTCCCATTTGTACCTAATTGAATCCTTTTAATAGTGCTCTGAATAGTCCTACAGGAAAAGTCAACTCCTACAGTATTTGGCTTGAGAGATGTCTTTTCTTCTTCGGACAAGAAGACCTAATTTTTCTTGATCATTCAATAGATATTTATTGGGTCCTTTTTCTAGGCAGAATGTTAGGTATTGGGAATGCAATGGTAAGTGTGACTTGAGCAGTGGTTTACAATTTACACAAAAAGCCTTCACAAATGTAACAGTGGACTTTACCGAGGAGCAAATGGAGAATCTGAGCAACCTGGGAACTCACTAAGAGTATTCTACCCAGTGAAGGAACCCGGGAAAATGGGCACGGAGATCTTTGATTCCAAAGCTGGTGTACCTTCCCCAGCTCAGTATACCAGAAAATACTAACCATGTCAAAACAACTGGGATGTTTGGACAGCTACATCATCAGAAATTGTCAGTGGTGTCCAAGGACAGGGACGACATTCAGTTTTGTTTCTGAATATAGAAAAAAGGGTTGACTAATATTTTGGTAGAAGCACATTTAGTCACACTGAGTTCCTGTTCAATGAACTAATTCAGGAAATAGAAGGTTAAGGCCAGCACTGTCAAACAGGTTTTTCTGTAATGACAAAAATGTCCTGTGTCTTTACTGTCCACTATGGAAACCACTAGCCACATGTGACTATCGAAATGTGGCTGGTGAAATTCTATTTATTTTTGATTTTAAACTTAAATACATAGCTACAGAGAGCCAGATGGCAACTGTTTTGGACAGCACAGCTCTATACCACAAGGCCTTTCCCAGAAGCCTGGCTCTTCCTAATGCTTTTCTTTCAGACTAGAATTCGGCAAATTCTTCTGTAAAGGGCCAAATAGTAAATATGTTAGGCTTTGTGGGCCAAGAAGAAAAATTGAACAACTGTCATAACATTTAGAAAATTAAAAATAATCCTTAGCATCCCTATAAAAACACAGTGGGCTGGATTCAGCCTGTGGTCTGTGGTTTATTGGCTGTATTGTCTTTATCTCCTGACCCCACCTCTTTTTCCAGGAAATTCTCATAATAATATGTAGTTGAATTTATATTAGACATCACAAAATGTGGAATTGGGGTAGTCTCTTACTCTCATTATTTGGCAACGAAATTTATCGATTTTTAAAAATTTGGTTATTATAAGTAGCCATTATTCTTATTATAATTTTTTTCTTGAGAGGAGAGCAATGTATAACTTTATAATTTTCCCCACGGCAGAACAAACTCACCCTTTAACCTGTTAGCGTACCAGTGGGGATAGATGTGTATGATCATGCTATTTCCTGCCTTGTTGGTATGGGAGTGAAGACCATCCCTTACCCCAGGGAATCAAGCCTGGGCTGTTGCATTGTGTGTCTAAAGTTTTGAAGAGGACAATTCAGGGGAATAAAATCAGAATGCAGTTGCTAACACTCTGCTCCCTGTATTCTTTCTGCCCACTCTTTTTTTCTTTTCTTTTTTTTAAACTGCTTTTACACAAAGACCAGGAGAAGAAAACAATGTATAATAGGCCTCTAATTTGGAATTCCAGGAAAGAAAATCTCTTCCCATGTCTGTATAGGAGGAAGAGAACCCGGAACCATCTGTAAGAATGTTCCCAAATGAATTCACTGTTTACTGTGTTCCTGGTATGTGCTGGGCATGGGATGAAATGATGAATAAGTCTGTCCCGCTACACAAACAACTCATGGTCTCCTGAGCAGACCACCGTAGAAAGCATAACAGTATTTTGGAGCTATGAGGGCTGTGTACTGCAGGAGCTCCCAGAGACAAGGAAGGTTAGGTGGGATCAGAGGAGGGTTTTAAAGAGGAAAGAGCTTATGCAAAGGCTTGGAAGTGAAAGAGAGAGAGGACAGGCTCATGGAGAATGGGAAGCGGTTTCGTTTGGTTGGAACACGGAGTGCTGAGTGTTGGGGAGAGGAAGATGGCTGGGCGGGGCGGGGGTAATGGAAATCAGATCACGAAGATTCTTGTGAACCGGGACTGGTTTTCCTGGGAGATTTGAAGTAAGTACAGTGTTCATTTCTCTGCCTCAACCACAATTAAAGTTTAGTGTCGTATGAGGAATTCTTCATCGACCGACAAGCCAGCAGTTAGCTGAGTGTACGCTTTGTGCTGGGCTTTGTATTTAGTAATGGACATACAAAATTAAATATGGGACAGGCCCAGCTTTTAAAAATCTCCCCACCAGCCCTCAATACTCAGCAGAATATCAAAGCCACAAATACCTGAGCTACATAGTATTATTGTGCCATGTGTCAAGTATTGAAGGGGAAACGGTCTACACTCCAGAACTGAGTTGGCCTGAGTGTATATTATTGAGCTGCACGGATGTTCTGAATTAGAGGTCCCTCTTGGCTTTGCCCTCCATCCAAGCCTGATATTTCCTTAGCTCACCTGCTGATCCCGGAAACTGATTTGCTCTCCCACTCTGCTCAGCCTCTGCTTATCTCCTGACTGCCACAACCTGATTGTCACTTTGAAGTCTTTCCCTCTGTGATGATGACCCTCAGCCTAAGCATCTTGACTTTGATGCCCAAACCTCCACCTCCCGCCCAGGCCTCTTTTCAGACCGGCCTTGCCAAACTGCCACCCACATCTCAGCATGATGGGTACCTATGGCGAGGGTCATGACGCTCAACTTGTCTCGCACCAGCTTGACTATCATGCTCTTCTGGAGCGGGGTGGAGCGGCAGCACAGGACAGACCGGCAGTATTGAGTTAACTCCAGAAATTTCTCCTCCAGCTTTCCCTGGAGAATGGCATTCAGAGTCTTCCCATCGATGACCAATCCAACTTCTGGAACTGCAGCTCTTGAGGCATAGGGAGGTTTCTCAGAAGCCGGGCCGAACCCAAAGAACTTGTGGTCTGGCTCCCGTGGGCCATAAAATTGCTTTACCTCTTCCAGTGCGCAGTTGAGGATGGATGCGCAGGTTTCCTGTAACGAGGCAGAATAATAAATTTGGTATTAGTGAGCAGCATTGGAAACATAGGTTGAAAATCTCACTTTACCCTTTAGTAAAATAGTTACAAGACTCTAGGTTACTTAACTAGGAATTATCCTCCAGTTTTCACATCTCTCTGCAATATTTCAAACGGCATCAAGGCAATATTAATTTGGAGTCAAATTAATGGCCAAAATAGAAGAGATTGCTTTGGAATGGGAGTGGAAATAGCTCAGCAAGATGAGGACCGATACGGGATGGCATAAAATAATGATACTAACCCGATGGGGAAAAATGGCAACACGTCATGCTGGGGCAATGCTCTCTACAGCATCTTAGTTCTCTCTGCTCCTCAGAGCATTACTGTGTGGCGGGTGGAGGGCAGGTGGTACTGGCTTTAGTTTAGAGATGAGGAAATTGACACAGTGAAACTTTAGGAACTTGCCCAAGGTCATCCGACTTAGTAGTGGAGGCAGATCGTTTAAACTGTGCCTTCTTAATTGAAAAAAGTACATTAACTATGTGTTTATCTGTTGCTATGAATGTGTTTGTCATCATAGTGGTTAAAACTGACTATGGATGTGAAAGTCTTATTGGTTGAAAGAAACATTTTTTTCTGATGTTTACCTCGAAACAGTGAAAACGTAATTTCCTCTTATCAGTTCTCCATTACTTTTGATTATATGAAATATAAAGTCAGATTTGGGTTTTAAATATCTCCTTAATACTCTTTACCTTCTGTAAACGGCACTTTTGTTCAACTGCATTATCAGGTTTGATGGCATGTTTCGCTCACATGGTCTTTACTTAGCATTGCTCTTTAATCCATGGCACAGGATGATGATTTTTCATTTACTGTTGTGCCAAAAGTTTCTTCTAAAGATAAATTTTAAAATGTTCGAAGTGAGTCAATTTAAATGAAATCATGAAATAAAAAAATAGTACAAGTAATATGTAGATTTTGGCCAAAATCTTGAAGATTGCTCTGAAGTGACAGGTTTGGGGACCATTGATCTAGAAGCTTCTGAGAATGTTTAGAATAATTTCGGTTTAATTGGCGTGTTTTCAATGGATGAATTAATCCAAAGTATAATAAATGAAGAGTTGAGGTTCTGTGAGCAAACAGGATGGTATCATGAAGATGGCATGGGCCTGCAGGGGACCGCATTCCCGTTAGTCTTTTAGAACTACCAGGGTGACCCTGGACAGGTGATTAGCCTCAGTGATCTTGTTCCCTCATCTGTGGAACAGGGAGACTAGCCTAGGCCAAGGATAGAATTCGGGAGAGGCAAAATTTTCTAATATATACTGCTAGACATAATATAAATACACTGGTCAACCATGTGTGGGGATGAGGTAGAGAATACTGGGCTGGATGACTTCCGGTACACTCTGAGCTCTTAAGATTTTGGGGTGGGGCACTTCCCTGTGTACCCAAATCCTGCCCATAAGCCTGTCTCCTCTTGGCCTAGGGGCTGCTCTGCACTTGGTCTTCTGGGCCCTTCTTTGGCCTCACCTGACTTTCTGTGTTAATGGAATAGACAGTGTTGGTCTGATCCAGCAGTCTGCAGGAATAGGCAATGTTGACTGCTGTCTCCTGCTTATCTCCAGTCAACACCCAGAGCTGGATCCCAGCTTCCCGCAGAGCAGCGACTGTGTCTGGAACTCCTTCCTGCAGCCGGTCTTCGATTCCAGTGGCTCCTGGAATGATCAGAGACACCAGAGATCACGTTCAGCCCAAAGCCCTATCAAGCCAGGCAATAATTATTAAGCGTCTTGCACGTTGAAGGCTGTGCTAAGCACCCGGGACACAACAGTGAGATAGAGCTGGTCCCTACCCTCTTGGAGCTCTGAGGCCTGTTGAATAAGGGTATATAACTGAGCTATATGAGGAGAGCAGAGGTGCCATGTGAGCACATATCGGGAGGCCCAAACTTCATGCGGAAGGTCAGGGAAGGCCTTGCTGAGGAAGTGCCGTTTAAGCTTAGACTTGGAAGATAAAACCAAGAGGTGGAGAAGGAAGAGAATTAATTACAGGCAGAGGGATCAGCACGTGTAAAGGCTGAGGGGTCAGAGTAAGAGAGGACACAGAAAGAGAGGCAGAGTCCGGGGCGGCAGATGAAGCCTGGAAGGGAGGTGAGGTGCTGATCATGCAGAGCCTGGGGAGGGCGGTAAGGGACTGGGAATTATTTGGTAGCCAGGAAGGCTGTTAAAGGGACTTGAGTTGGAAGAGCGATGGGATCGGTTTTGAGTTTTAAGAAGATTATTCTAGAGAATGGATTGGAGTTTGGAGGAAGCAGGGTGAATTCAGGACCAAAAGTTGGAGGCTGAGCAGGAGAGCTGACGTTGGAGAGGCAGTGGGAGCGGAGAGAAGGGGAGAGACTGACATCTTTGCAACTACTCACAGCAGAATTAATAGAGACTCAGGGTTTCGAAAATGTTCTTGGAGAGAATTAAACACTCAGCTTCCATAATTTTTGAATCCTCTCAAGCTTTGCACCAGCCCCGATGAATAGATACCCAAATATCGTATAGCTGCTGGGTGATTAAGCAAAAATAAACCAGCCTTTAAATTGAGATTCATTTCAGACCACAGATGAATGGCTACCCATTTCACTCTGGGCAGGAGCAAGGCATTTCATTTCTTTTAATAATTCCGAGTGACAATAGGTTGCCAAAGCAGCTATGCTGGATGCATAGCGAAAAGATCATTTTACATCGTGGGACTGAGCAAGGGACTGAGTGCAAGGCCGCTTCGAACCGGCATGGCAGTTTCTTGGTGGCAAGATGAAATCTCTTCCCAGCCCCAGTCCTCTCCTCCCCAAGCCTCCCTGAGGAAAGGAAGCCACCTGCTATCCCGCACTGTTGTGTGTGTGAGGGACAAACGTGAGGGTGAACAACCTCAGGAAGGGCAATCGCTTGAGCCTCATCTTTCCCTCCAAGCGTTAGCCTGGAAGGTGAGACACTGAAGCTGATTTATATTATAGGGAGGCAGAGTGAAGGGAAGAGGAGGAAAAACACATTTATTTGTGTGAAAGAGAAAATGAAACAGGAAGGCTGTGAAAACCTTTCCCGGCCAAGGAAGCTGACAGGTCCTGACAAGTATCTTCACTTTCTTGCAGGACCAGCTGAGCAGCACTTCTTACCGAGACCAGAGTGCTCCTCAAAACAAAATAAACCTCAGGGGGGCAAGTGGGGGATCATTGCGCTAATGGGATGACATTACTGTGGCCTGGTGTGGCAAGTAAACAGAGCTGCCTGGCCTAGCTATCCTCTGGTTCCCGTTAAAATGAGTTCTGGTGGCCAGCTTTCAAGGGGGCTTCCTGAGGCAGCAGGCAAGGGCCCCTGCAGTCAAAACAGGAAACAGAAGCTGGAGGATGTGGGAGGAAAGCTCCCTCCCCCGGCCCGCCACCCGCCTTTCCAGACTTTGCTGCCACCTTTGCGCACAAAGACACCTCTTCTTAGAGCCACGCTGGGTCTTTACCCTTGTACCCCACCCGCTGCGCAGCCTGGAGGAGTCTGTTTTATCCAGAGAAACTAAGGATCAGAGGTTTGCGGGGGTGTGTCCCTGGGCACAGGTCAAGGTATTGACAGGGCTAAGACGTGGCCCTTGTCCCCAGGTCAGCACTGCCCTCCAGGATGAAAGAAAGCTTCTGCCACGTGGCCAGTGTGTGCATGCTGTTCCCGCACAGCCTTTTCTAGATCTTGCTCCCGAGCTGTGAGGGGATTAATCCTGATAAGTAAAGCCTCCTCCTTTTCCCTCGACAGTACTTTTCCTCCAGCGGGAATACAACACTGCCTCATAACTGTGGTCTCCATGCTCCACGGCTTTCCCCCAGCGTATTGACGTAACTTCCCTCCAACAGCGGCCCGAGCAATTTTTGTAAAACACAACACTGTCCTTGCTTTTAATCCCTTCCCCTCCAAACTTGTAGCGTGTGATTCAGATGGCCCTTTATAATCTCTGCGCTACAGGCCAGCCCAGCTTTCTCACCTCCGGGCCTTCGCTGGGCCCTTCCCTCCACCTGGAACACATCCCCCTTTGCCTGAGCAGCTCCTCTCCTCCTTCGGTTCTGGCTTCCTGCACCCTCCTCGGCCCAAGGCGACGTTGGCCCTTTCTACTTTATGCTTCCATCCCACCCAGTACATCTTCCAGCCCGGCCCTCATCACACTCTGTTGAAGTTACTTGTTTAATCATCCAGTTTCCTTGCTAGACTCTGAACCTTGGGGCGGGGGAGGGACGGGACAGGACTTGGGGCTCTTTTTCCTTATTGTAGCTCCAATGCCTAGTTGGCTACTTGGCACATAATCGATGCTCAATAAACAATTGAATGAGTGGAGAGGAAGCCACCAAAGTCCTGGGTGTCGCCCAGCAGGGAGTGCAGGAAGCTCCTGGGCACCCCCAGGAAGCTGTGCATGGAGCCTGGTCGGACACTGGCACAGCCCGTGGTGCCGAGTGCCAGGGCATCCCGGGGAAGGCTCCAAATGAGACCATTGTAGTGGTGTCAGAATCAGGGCCAAGAACTCCCTTTCCGGCTTGCAGCATTCCTATTTTTCGTTTAATGAGAACTTATTTTTACCTACCGAGTAAGGTGAGCTGATTCTCCAGACATTGTGCTGTCTCCATCAGAAGCTCATCGCGGTTCTCGAGGGATGCCTCGGCCTCACGCCGGAAACTGGCCCATCGCTGGAAGTCCTCCTCACTCACAACCTACAGGGCAGGCACAGGCTCATTCACAGCCCCAGGTGAATCCCTCTCCCTCCCCGCACTCTGGGCATCCTACGGGCTGTCTGGGCTTCGCTACACAGTGAAATGTGGCTTTCTCCTCAATGATGATTTTTTTTAAAATGCATGAATCAATGAAGGATTGATTCTCGTGTTACATTATCACCAAACATTCATTGAGCCCCTGCCCTGCTCTGGGCGCTAGAGATAGAGCAATGATCAAGACAGACAAGATCCTGCATGCCCGGGCTTATGTGCCGCTAAAGGAGGAGACACATTATCCAAGTAAATTAAAAGAACAGATCATTTCAGGGAGTTCTGTATAGAAAATAAAGAGGACGATATGATTAAGCATGACTGGGTGGGAGGATGGCGGCGGGAAGAGGGGCTATTTCAGTGGGATCTTCAGGTCTCTTAGAGAAGGTGATGTGCAAGCTGAGATCCAGTGATGAGAAGAGTTCAGTCATGGGGAGGGGCAAGTACAAAGACTGTGAAATAGCAATGAACTTCGCTTTGTTCGACCATACCAGTTGGCTGAAAGATGGAAAGCCAGGCAGAAGGAGCCAACAATGAGGCTGGTAAGGTTCTCAGCAGCCAGATCCTGCACGGCCTGGTAGACTGTTCCACCTGCTATTGAAGGTGGTGCCCCAAAGCTGGGAGAATCCAACTAGGGGCATAGCTTCCTCCCTTAGTGTCCCAGAGCACCCTTAGACCCTTCTGTTGGCATTACATGCATACTGACTCTTAGAGCAATGAATGAGCCTTTTGTCCAAGCATCAAATATTCCTTGGTTTTTCTTCTGTGCATGTCACTATAGGGAAAACCAAGAGAACACAGGTAGGCCTTTCACAGTCTTATTAGAGGAAGCAAAACAGGTACAAGGAATTCATAGTCTTTTTAGAGGAGGCAAAACAGGCACAAGTAATTTCAACGGAAACTAGAAGGTGGTAAGGGTGTAATTACCACCTACAGAGTAGTAAGCACCGTTAGTGGTGAGCACAGTGGTGTCGCTGTCCCAGGCTCTGTACATGAGGTAGGGGCATGAGCACCATTTGACAGATAAGAAAGTCCAGAACTCAGAAGGGTGAAGAAATTGCCCAAGGTCACACGACAGGTGAGTGGTGAGACTGGGACTTGTGCCCAGGTAGGTCAGGCTTTAAAGTGGATGCTCTTAAACCCTATGTTGCACTAAGCGCCATAAAAAGATGAAGAGCTAAGGGGGTTTATGGAGGAGAAATAAGTCTAGCTACCTAGAAATATATAGCTCCGCTACCTGATTTTAGATGCCTCATCGGATCCCCCTGCTCTGGGATTCATGGCTCTTTTCCTGCCTCCCTTTTAGGGGCTTCAAAGTCAAAGACCCGTAGGACATGAGGCGGGTAATCTATATGCTATGGCTGGGCCAAGGGTAAAGTTATAGGGAATGGCGGGGACTGTGATCAATCACAGAACACAGCACAATGTGTTTCTCACCAAAGGGATCGGCTGCTACATGGCTCTGGCTATTTGCTGCCATTCGAGAATGGAGACCCAGTTTGCCAGATACTCTAAATTTTCCAGAGAAACCAGAAATTGAGATTTTTATGTGATCACAGAAAATCTCCCAAATTTCAAATTCATGCAAATAATGCAAAGTTTAAAACTGAAGGCAAAATTATAACATTAAGATGTTTTATGAGTTGTGATTTACCAATTCTATACACAACGAAAAGCAGGAAACCAAAAAGCCACACTGATAAGGGACCTTGCCATTCAGATTTCTGCCATGGCAAAATTGTCACAGCCGTGGGCCTCCGTGGTAAATCAAAATAGCAAATTGTGACTATATTAAAGCAGCCAACATCAAGGGTCTTCGAAAAACAGAGAAGGCGGCGTCAGGGCTGCTGCCGTTGGGCCGTGCGCACACGAGGCTCACCTTCTTGGCGATGCACAGCGTCCGCAAGCCGTCTCTTGCATACAAGTCCAGATGCCTCTGAGTCCAGGCTCGGATCTTCCTCATCCTCTTTTCCACAGCACTGTCAGTCTCTGTCAAATAGTCAGTGTCCCCCATGAGATCACGTACAGATACTTAGGGATCCCCGTCCCTCGCTCCGAAGGCTTCAGAGGAGCAGTCACCTCACGGACCTCTCCAGGAACACGGAGCCCTCTCGGCTGGCAGGGTGCCTGGGAAGGTGTCCTTAAACTGTTTGCTCCCTATAGCTGGTCACCAAAAGCCTGACTGAGAAAAGTACTACTTAAGGAGGGCAGGTGGCCTAAGGTATTGTTCCTAAACATCTGTTTGCATCAGAATCACCTGGGAACTTTTAAATAAGAGAGTTTCCCATGGTCGGTGGAAGCCCTGCTGAATCGGGGAAACAGAAGTCTGAAGTCTTATTATCACCTCAGGTGTTCCTTTGTAGCCATTTAGCCTTGGACGACCCACTGTCTGCTAAGTGTCGGGCATGCTATCCATCACTGCCTCTACTTTGGTGCTTATATCACATTAGGTCTCAAGATAGCGATGGACCTGAGTCTCATTGCTAAGTTCTTCACCACATTGGGTTTGCTGAGATAACTTTTCTTTCTAGACAAGAGATGGTCTTAGAAAAAATATTTTGCATTTCCTATAAATTTAATGTTTAGATCGAAAAATATTTCATTGTGTTGCTCAAAGTCCCCTCTATGAAGTCCTACCTAGTATATTTCTTTTAGAAGAAATTTATTGTTTTCTCTTGAAATCTCGGTGCTTTTATCTACCAGATAAAAAGAGGTTTTCATCTGGGGTTGGCAGGTATGGGGCGGGATTGATGCCATCACCACTTCTTTATCTAAGATGTCGCAGACATCACTAATCGGTTGAAGCACTTTGTAAAGCTGAGCTTGGAAAAAACTTCAGAATCCTTTACCAGTGCTTAATTGAGATCTTCAGAGGCCGTAAGCAGTAAACAGACTTTGTGCACCTCATTCATACCCCCATGCGATGCAAAATTAAAAATACAATTATTAAATGTAAGATAAGAAAGCCCAACGAGCTGATTTTTTCTATGATACTATTCCAAGGCTGTTTTTACGCACTATAAAAACCCTTTCACCAAAGATTATTTTCTAATTTTTCAGGCGCTCCTGTTTTCCTGGTGCCTTGAACACAGTCTTTATGCATTGCCTTATTGAGCACTATTTACAGTATTTTATTTTCAAAGGCATCATCGCCTGAGATGAAACTCTTTTGCCTTCTACCTGTGTGCCTTTGAGTTGACCTTTTCGCTCAGGCTACCAGAAACCTCAGGGTCAAAATGAATGTTCAAACACCATAAATATATTAAACCGGGAATTATTTCTTTCCCCTCTGTTTCCAAGCGTTACGTCTCAGTTCTAAATAGTAACATTGCTCATGTGTCTTTTATTGGAGGCATCGCTAATCTATTTTGCAGTCAGGAGAGGAACAAATAAAAAAAACATCTCCAGGGCAGCTTGGATGGTTGTTGCCCAGGGATAGAGTGTCGAGGCTCCCTTGACTCAGAAACCCTGATTTCACTTGTCTGCCAGAGTCTGGGGATAAAGAGACCTAATTAGCTCCCTTCCCATTCTAAACACTCATCAATCCCCATGAACCTCTTGGCTCTGATCCACAGCTGATAACGCAGGAGGCACAGGGCTGCCTGGGCAGTTCTACAGCTTGGCTGGAATCTCCTACCCCGGGAGAATCATAGTCCCATAACTGTCTTCTTGTTAGCAATCGAGAAGCGTCTGCACACTAATTCATGCTGCTCCCAAATTGGACACTGATATGTAGGGACTTTGGAACATTTTTCTGGCTTGGTGCAAGTTTCTGAAAATCCATTTCGGGGAGGCTGGGGGAAAGGATGACAAAGGACACCTGAGGCTTCCCAGAGTGAAGTGAGCCTGGTGTGGAATTTTCTGGCAGCGGGCAGGGAGCTCTGAACTGGGTTTCAGGATGCCTGGGCCTAGGGTTTCCGCTGCTTAGCTGGGCTGCCTCTCTTGGGTCACTTCTTTGTCTGGGCTCAGGTGGCCTCTCTCCAAAACTTAAGAGTTAGGACCACACTGTGCTCTAGGGTATGTTAATGGATATTCTGTGTAATTGTGTATGGATAATCCATGTTTAAACGACTTTGGAAAACTGGAAACTGGGATGAAAAGTGAAAGAGGCTTTTCTATGACAAGACCAAGGTCTTTAATAAGCCGCTGAGTCCTGTGATTCTCCAGGTCAACGAGATGTAGAATGTAACGTGTGTTAAGGAAGTGGCTTTCAGGGGAGCGTCTTGTGGGCCCATGCTCTGACTGGCACCTGCTGGGCCGAGTGACACTATGACTGAGCTCATCATGACCGTTCCACACAGCCTCTTAAACCACGAAGCCCCTTTCCCTGGTGCCCCGGCGGGCGGGACTCACCACAGGCCGGGTCTCCCAGCAGGTCCATGATCACCGAGTCGGCGCCCTTGGTGTAGACAATGATCTCGCTGGTGAGCGGGTGCCTGACGACCACGGACATTCTCTTCCTGACGGAGTCGAAGCCCAGGGTGCAGAGGACGTCAAAGGTGAGGCAGGTGCCCTGGGGCAAGCGCACAGTCACCTGACTGGGCGTCCGGGACACCAGCGTGACGCTGTAGGCACGGGCGGCATGGACCAGGGCAGCCTCGTCAGGGCTCTCGGCCTCGTAACAGAGCTCGGGGCTGGCCGGGCCCTCTGGCACCTCCTCCAAGGACACGCCCGACCCAGACGCCGGGGCATCACTCTGGTCCCACGTGCTGCTCCTCGAGCCACCGTCGGTGGAGTAGCCTTCACTGCACATGGACGCATCGTCTCTTTCTTCCGAGTCTGTGGTAGGCACATTGGTCCCCAAACTCTCCTCCAGGTCGGTGTCAGAGGGCGCAGTGGATGAGAATGAGTGGCTGAGGCTCGAAAGCTTCAACTTCTGGAAGAGCTGCTGAATCTTCTCCAGGGATATTCCCAGAGCCTTGGTGGAGGGTGGCATGGTGACCTTGAGATCAAAGGAGAGAAGGAAGGTGTTACCCTTCATGTCGGAAAAAAGTATCAAGCGGAATCTTATGGCCGAATCTGAAGGTCATGGCAGAATCTGAAGGTCGTTTTGCAGTGAATGCATTATTTTGGCCTGTGATTTGGGCGGGTCTTCTCGCCTAGGTGAGCCTCAGTTTACCCGCCTATAAAATGAAGGACTTAGGCCAGATGCTTCCTCCAGCCCTGACATTCTTGGGATTGGCAATGGCCCTCCCCGCTCTATCAGGGGTAAAGGAAAGAAAAGGAGGCCAAAGCCAGACCCACAGCAAGAGTGCACATTCCCCACACCCTTACCATAGCCTTTATCTTTGCATGCAGCGTCTCATTTCACCCTCCCGGCGACTTTATGAGATGTTATCATCCCAATTTATGGATGAGAAACTGAGGCAAGAAGAGGTTAAATAAATTGGCCATGATCACCCAGTGTGTGGGTAGGAGAACCGGGACTCCAATCTGGTTCTGTCTGACGCCAGCGGTTGGGCTCTTCAGCTACCCACCAGCTAAAGCGTCCCCATGAATATAAAAATCGAGAGGTGGATGCTGTCCTTCCAGAAGGGTACTCCTTCCTCTCTTGAAAATAGAGTTAATTTCTCAGATAACGCCACCTGCCTCTCAAAGCTCTCTGAAGACTTCTGATATTCTGGTGACCTTTCCGGAACTGAAGTGACTTTTCAAGGTGGTCTGGGTCTGGGTGTAATAAGAGGAAGCTATGGGTTTGTGCCTAGGAGAACCTTCTTTTTCTTGACTTCCTAGACATGAGATGTAACACCCAATTATTCTCATCAGTCACAAAGTAGCTTGGGTGAGAGTTTGTGGATAATCGAAGACAAAGCTATCTTCAGTACTAAAAAACGATTCACAGCACACCCTTCTATAAATGGCCATCTAGCTGCATTCTCTCTCAATTGGCAAAACATCGCACGTGGTGTTAATTATTTAACTCCCGTGTAAAAGCTGAGACCAGTAGGACATAATGGCAGGGAGTCACACGAGACGGTTCTGCCAAGTATTAACCATGTATCTTTAGTAAGTTAACTCAAGTTCTCTGAGCCACTGTTTCTTCACTTGTGAAATCGAAAGCCATACCTCATAGGGCTGCTGGGTTGTGAGGATTAGACGATAATACAGCTGAAGGCTGCCAGGTAACAATTGCTCGGTATATATTAGCTCTTAATATCTACCCTGCAGACAGACCGACACAAAATCTGAAAGGTACACAGACGTCTCATACATAACGTTTCCAGTTACATTTTAAAATGAGGAAACGGAGGCCCAGAAAGGGTAAGAGATCTACTCAAAGTCTCAGTGATGAAATGACGACACTGTGGCCTGGGCTCAAGGGTCTTATCTCCTGGTTCAGGGCTTCATCCCTCGCCCCTGCTCCTCCCTCCACCCCCACCGTCATCAGTCCTCACCCTCTGCCTGGGCTCGGAGGTTGTGGAGACCATGACGGAGTTGCAGATGGTCAGGGCGAGGAAGAAGTCAGCGACGTAGGAGCTGGTGGAGAGGGAAGGCTTGGCGGGTCTGGAGTCTGGCAAAGTCTCCAGCCACAGGGCAGCATCTCGCACCTTGGTCAGTAGGTTTTTATCTGGAGTCACATCTTTTTCCTGGGAAAGAAAGGGTTGGGTGAGGGTCTTTCCTGAAGGGAGGGGAGGAAGGCCCCCTCCAGCAGGTTCTTTGTATGTCTGGGGCAGGGATGATGCAGTCTTCCCTGCATCTTGAATCTAGTATGTCTCCCCCTCCCACGAGCCTGCTCATTACAGATTCTTATTTGATTCCTCCCTTCCCTCACCCCACATATCCATCATGTACAGGCTCTGGCGGTTCTTCCCTCACAGTGTCTCCCCACCATTTGTCCTTCATTCCTGATGCCTCCAAGCAGGCTCAAATCCTCGAGCCCTCCATCCTGGATTTCTGCATCACCTCTAAGCTGATGGTGCTGCTTCACATCTTTTCCTTCTAACCCTCCACATGTATTACCCATGCATTTTCCTAAAACACCGGTTTCCTTGGGGCATGTTGGAGCTCAGTGCACCTTCGGGAGCTCTCTCACTGGGGGCCTGATCCAGTCACTCAGCCTCTAAATTCTCCCTCAGCCTGAGCTTCCACTCACTACTCCCGCCACTTCTCAAAGCAGACGCTCGGCGCGGCCCACGGTCTGCATGCTGCCTCCTGGATGAATATTCCCCTCGTATGCCCCTGATCTCACCCTGTTTGAAACTTCCTGTCCTGTCTACCAAACTCCTGCCTCGACTTTAATAACCATGACAGGTACCATGGGTTTGTGAGATCTTATCCGGCCCACAGCGAGTTTTCTGTCCTCTGAGCTGCAGTAGCAGGTCCCTGAACTCGGAGTGGGCACAGGAGTCAGGCAGGTGCGGTGACTGAGAAAGTGGGCCAAGGTCCAGATGATGACATGGGATGGTGAGGCCGGGCAAGTCCCATCCCACCTAACAAATGGCAGCTGCTCTGCTGGTGAAGTGCTCTGGTGCTGGTCACGTCTGCCACGTCTCTTGATTTTTCAAGATAAAGCAGAGATGATGTGAGAACTTTTTTTTTTAGGGGGGGTGGGGGCTCGATCTGACTCATGGGTTTCCAATTTTTGCCATCTTTGTGTAACTTGTATCATTCTTTGGAATTTACTACGTATTAAATTCAGATTTATCATGTCCTCTCTAGAATGAGGGTAGAGCCTCAAAGACAGAGGCTGCATTTTCTATAAAGTTGTGTCTTCTATAGCTCTGACTACTGCTTTGTTTAAAGTAGAAGTTCAACAAACACTGGCCCCTGATAGTTATCTGTGACAAAAGCCATTCAGGAAAGAAGTTTCCACTTAATAAGACCATTGCTATCCGTGTTCAGAGTTCAGTTTAACATTTAGAAGAGAGTGGATGGGAGGGAGGTTGGGGAGGCTGGTGAAAAAGGGGATGAGATTAAGAGGTACAAATTGGTAGTTATGAGATAGTTGTAGAGCTGTAAAGTATAGTCAATAATACTGTGATAACTATGTATGGTGTCAGATGCATACTAGATTTATTGGGGCGATCACTTCATGAGTTATATAGATGTCTAATCACTATGTTGTACACTTGAAACTAATATTGTATGTCAACTATAACTGAAAAAAAAAATATATATATTATTTTAAAAAAAATAGAAGCGAGTCAATGGCTGGAAAGACAGACTGAGGGAATCTTGATTGATTCACACAGGGTGAAGACTGAGGGCCAACGAACTAGCAGGCTTTACAAATAAAAACCCAAGTTGACATTTAAAACTAAAATCCCATGGAGGAAAAAGTCTTCAGTCTGTGTCTCCTCGGACCACCGAATGCAGGAAGTCAGGTTCTATCCTTCTTAGGGTGAGGCACAGGAGGAAACCCAGGCACCTGGTTGAGAGGTGAGAGCTGGGTTTTCCAGCAAGGCAGGGACACTGGAGGAAACAGACCGGATGTGGTGGAGCACGTACTCGTCACAGTTCCAACCTGCACTGGGCTGCTCTCCAAGAGTCAGCTCTCACACCTGCATCTTGTTCATACTATTTTAAGACAGCATCCAGGAAAAGTGTATTTATTACAAAGAAGATGCTAGATATTAGTTAAAGTGCATCGTCTGCACTACCTTTCATTGCCCAGTAAGTACTGGTGAACCACCCACACCGTGTGGAGTCACTATTTGTAGGAAGCCTGGGAAGGGAGCAAACACCATTCAGTCTCTCTGCCTCTGAGCCCAGTCTTTGTGGCAGGAGCTCTCATTGATGAAACTTCCTGCCTTCCCTAACAGTGTCATTTATGTGACCTCACTGGGTTCTCAAGAGCCCCAAGTTGACATGAGACTAGTCCCGACTTAACTGAAACTCAGAGAAATGGGATAACTTGACCATTGTCACCCGGTGAGTTAACATAGAGCTAGAATCAATGTCAGACCTTTTGATTGAGAGTGTAGAGTTTTTCCTTTCTGTGGTCATGGTAAAGTAGCTGTGTTCCCCCATTAATGCTCCTGCAAACTCCTCTAACCAGATTCGAAGCTCCACCCAGGGCTGGTCATCAGTTTACCAACACTACTCAGGGAACCCCGAGACCATTTCTCATCCTGGTAATGACAGTTCCCATTCACGGAGTGCTTGTGTTCTGGGTTCATCCACTGTCTCGTTGACTCTGACAGCAACATTATCTGAGTACTATCATCCTCCCAGTTAGCTCTGTATTTCAGATGAAGAAACTGTTCCCCAAGGAGATTAAGTGTCTTGCTTGAGGTCACACAGTAAGTGGGAGAGAGCCCCTCAGTTAATTCAAGATAGTCTGACTCTAGAATTCATGCTCTCAACCTCTGTGCCAGGGAAGATGCCTATAAGAAGGAAGTGGCTGACAGCCAGGGTCATCAGTGTCTGGCATCCCAAACCCAATGGACAGACTTGCTTATCTAATCCTCAGGGCTCAGCAGATCATCCATGAGATTATAAAGGGGATTATGGGACTCTTACTTTTTCAGGAAATAGATTTCGTTTTGGGGGTTAGGGTGGGGGGAAGGAGGGGTACATGAATGGGATGCTTTTAACCCTTACCACAGATACCCAGAATTGAGAACAAGCTTGGAGGTCATCAAAGCCAATGCCCCGCTTCCTCTTTTCCTGATGATAAAACAGTGCCAGAGAGGAAGGCGGCGAACTGCTCAGGACCACGCACTGAGCCAGGTCAGAACAGGACAGTGTTCGCACCACCTGACGCGCAGCCTCCAACAACACGCTGCTTTGCTCCAAGCTACGTATCGTGCATTTCCAAGTGTTGACACAGGTAAAACGATTTAACGGATATTTATTGCATGTCCGTTTATCCTCTAGTCTATAAGTGTCATGAGGGCAGAGACTGTAACGTGTCCCCAGTGCCTGGCAGACTGTAGGCACTCAAACCTTTGTCGACTAACTCCTATCTAGGACACTCATGCTACCTCAGCACTGATTAATTCATGGGGTCTCTTTGTTAAAACTCCTCTTTAGTTTATTTCCACACAATCATACAGTGATGTGGGAAAAAAAAAAAAAATGTCTGCAAAGGGCTGACTTCTCTCTGGCACTGGCGACAGGCCCAGCCTGCAGGTATCAGCCGTAGATGTCACTTAAGCTTTATCCAGTCACCACAGACTTGCTTCCACAGGGCAAGGTTCTCCACGGTTCCCTTTGCCCACAGCCTACTGGTTTCCTCTCTGGTCCATTAACATTTAGAAACTTGGCACTTAGACCACTTAGAGAGAAAGCAATGTCCTACCCACTTCTGGGCCCTCTGGTTAGTCTATTTCTCTGAAGGAAAAGAAATATAAACTTGTGGGACCACCAGTTCAGATTAGTGCTTTGTGGCAGCCAGGCCCCCAGCTGGTGGGATTTCTTTCTACTGCAGAGGCCTCTTTGAGGAAAGTGATCGCTGACCTCACACTATACACTCCAGGATCCCGTTATTACCGTTAGATTTCTTTTATGGACAACTTAGAGCAAAGCCAGGTGCTTTGCTAAGTACATCATTTAATCATAACAGCACAGAAATAGTTACTATCATTCTCCCCTTTTAATTAAGAGGCAAACGAGGCTCACTGAAATTAAGTCACTTGTCCGAGGTCACAAATTCAACAAAAGAGCTGTGGCTTGAATCCAGTTCTGCCTGATGCCAAAGGCGGAACCCTTAAACACCATGCCAGCACTTCCCAAACGTAACGCGCACACACATCAACTGGGCATCTTGTTAAAAGACAGATGCTGATGCAGCGAGTCTGGAGTGGAATTTCTTCAAAATCCCACGTGGTGCTCAGACAGCTGGTCTGAGGATCCCAGTTTGAGTAATAGACAAAGAGACATACAGAACTGGCAGAGCCTTATAAGAGGTAGCAGACCCTTCTATTTGCTGTTGGTGTATGTCTAAACTGGTCCAATCTCTTCGGAAGTATCAATCAAAATAAAAAATGCACATACTTGCGATTTAGCAATTATGCTTTAAGAATAAATATTCTAGAAACACATACACATGTATAAACAGATGATGCTTCGACCACCCCCAAAATTCTCATAGCCACTAAAATAGGATCAAACAGTGCTCCAATGAACGTCTGTCTACATTTACGAAATATTCCTCAAGATTCACTAAGTGGAAAAAAAAAAGTCCAAAACAGCGTGCATGCTATGCTTCTGTTTGCAGTAAAGGACGTGCTCATGTGTGTACCACACTTGTTTGCTCCTGTGTAGGTGAAACTCTAGGAAGGGCACAGGGAACTTCTAATGATGTCAGGGAACAGAAGAGGGTGCGAAACCTCCTTCCTGTCACTTGCCTTTTGGTTCCTTTTGACCGTGTGGTTGTATTACTCTCGTGGAAACAACTTTTGTGGTTGCTGAGGGGCTGCGGGCTGAAATATTGTGTAAGGCAGTGATGTCTGTCTTAGCTGATGTTGTGGCCTCGATGATACTGAGTTTGATCCAAGAAGGCAGAGAGCCCAGCGTTTGTAGATTTTTGCTTAAATAGAAGCACATGCATTGTTAAGGTTAGCTTTTCCCAAATGGAATGTAAGTCCCAAAGAGAAAAATTAGTGGCCTGGCAAGAAGGGGGTTTTCCAGATATTGCAAGACCACACCCTTTGTGAACAGTGTCATGCCAGCCATATGTCCCCACAGGGAACCCTGGGGGCTAAGGGTAGCGCAGCTGAGAGGCTTCATCTGTTCCTGCGTATGTGGTCACATCACTTCCCCCAAGTTCTATGGTTGGCTAATAAAATCGGGACTCTTACCTCACCTTCCAGTGGGAGTATGCGTGTGGGTGTGGATGTGGGCTGGCCCCACAAACCTGGGGCGGACTGGAAGTGCTGCACAAATCTCCTCCAGTGATAGAAAGGAAGACCAAGTTCAAGAAAAGGAGGCAGAGGGCCAAAGACACCTCCTTTTCTCTACTGTATTCCTTCCGGAGGGGTGGGAGGGGCCATGCCCACAGAAGCAGGTATTGGTGAAGTTTGGAGGAGCCTAACTGGCCCCCACGCAAATTTCATGATTAGGAAGATAATCTGTGGTCTGACGGCTCTGGAAAACATTGCGCAAGTAGCACTTCTGAACAAAGACTCTGCTCAAATCTTGGCTGCTTACAGACCACAAAAAAAGGGAGGGCATTTCGTTTTCCATCTGCCAGCCCTATTAAACACTGGTTCAGCACCCACGACTTTCATAAGTATATTACCCCACCCTGCATTTTATAGCAGCCAATTCTGCAATATTCCAAGACCGATATTGCTTCCTTGTTTTTTGTAGTAAAATAAAAAAAACAAACAAACAGCTTTTGTTGTTATTGTTGATGCTCGTTTTAGTTTTGGTTGGGAGCAAAGGGCCAAGGAAACTAAGACAGGCTTCTTTAGAATGTGGAGGGGTGCTCTGCGGTGACCTGGCACCCTGGGGGTTTCAGAGGCAGGTTCTGGCTGCGTTTACGGAGGGGAAATAAAGAGCTGGTGGTGCCGAGGCATGATCAGACCAAACTGAATGGCAGCAGATGGGCGGGCGGAAGAAGCGGCAAATTCAGAGAACTGCTCGGAGTGGGCAGGGGTGGGAACCAGGGGATCGGGCAGAGTCGCCCTAGACGGTCTCTGTGGACTAATTCAAGCATCGGCCACTCCAGCCGCAGATATCTTACAGGTTAGTGTCAGGTCCCTTTAAGGCAGCATAAATCACCCTCTTCGGCCAGTGTCTTCTAAGCTATAGAAAGTGCCTATTTGAGACAAATGTAGACTATTCTTGTGGGGTGATGGTATGCTTAGAGAGGTTCTCAATCTCGGTTGTTCACTAGAATCATCACAAATGAAAATACCCTAGACCGAATACGCCAGAATCTTGGTGGGGAGAGGGCTCGACACTGTATTTACAACAATTCCCATTTCCCTTCCATGTCTCCAGGTATGTGACCCTTCGTCCAAAGCAAACAGCTTCCCTCAGAAAAATCTGTTAAAATATCTATTAGTTATCCATTTGTCTATAACACATGATTTTAAGAGTTAAATACTCAAAATAAACTCATAAGGCAGAACGACAGCCCTTTTTAAAGATGGGAACATTGAGACTTCCAGCTCAGAAACTTGACCAAAGTCATCGAGCTAATACATGGGGGAGCCGAGATAAAAACCTGGCGCGTCTGACACAAATGTGCCTGATTCGTACCTGGAAGGGACCTTACATGTGAGCACAAACATATCATTTGATTTTTAGACCAGCTGGTGAGTTATAAGCAAAGTATTTTCAGGTGACAAAGTAAGGATAGAGGTTTTACATGTTGCTTCAGGTTATCTAGCAAGCCAGTCGCAGAGCTAAAACCAGAACCTGCGTTTCCCGACTCTTAGCCCTGTGCCCTCCTCAACAACTTCCTGGGGTTGCTATTGTCCCACTAACTGCAGATTTTCAAGCAAACTGACTGTAGAACGGCACGTATGGCAGTTTGTAATGAGAACACGGCACCATTCCCACCCGCCCAGGCAGCAAGAGTTAAGTTTTAGTCTGTGTGTCAATTTCCTTATTGTTCCTGAATAAACTTAGACCTACCCTTGAGAGAGTGCCAGCCCAGGTAGAATGATGACATCCAGGACCTGGAGACAGCTCAGGGGTTAATGTGTCCCTTGCACTGACCATCAGCTAAGGGCCCTGAAGTAAAGTTATACCGGCTGGCTCAGGGTTACAGTTTTTCCGGGCTACTGAGATTTGTCAGGTTGAACAGGGGCCAGTGAATCTGTGCATTTCAACTGAGCTCTACCAAGGAAAGTTTCCTTTTTCTCCCCCTGTGTCCTGGGGGAGGCATTCGCAGGCACGTGGGATGCCTGTGGTAAGTACCAAAAGATATACATAGTGCAAGACTTAGAATCTGTGCCTAATGAGAATGTGCTGAATTTACTCTTCAAGAATTTAGACAAAGAGCTGAGGGAAGAGCATTCCATTTAGAGGGGACAGAATTAAAGAAGAGAGAGTCTTGACAATATGCGTGTCCTGTTAGCTAAGAAAATCAAAGGGAAGAAACAAACCCAAAATCTTCCCCAAGGCACCTATAGATCACTCCTCTTGTATGTTTATGGACATCATATGTCTTAACAAGTTATTATTGGTTGCTAATGTTGCATTTCTGTGCACTATAACAGACGCGAGTTAACTTGACTTTGTATCAAAGGGAGAGAAGCAACCGCCCAGAACATACAGACTCACAGCCCTTCTTCCTGGTTAGTCAGAAAACAGTCCCAGCTTATGAATATGAGGTAGCAATATGGACAATGCTTTTGACTGCTTGTCAGAGTAAATAAAACCCAGCACCTGTAATTTATATGTACTATCACTGCAAAAATGTTAAATATCTATAGTTACGTGTGATATTAATGAGGGAAATAAAAGACTGAAGGAAATTCACCAAAAGGTTCATTTTGAAACTCTGATATTCTAATAATGGGGTAATAGCACTTTAGGTCCCTGTTTCAGTTTGTGTATCTTGTTCGAGATGGCTGGGGTTCTCTGTGGCCTTTTCTGTAGCTGCACAAGTTTCCAGATGATGTGTTTCCTAGCAAAAGAGCATGGTGCAGAGGAAATAAAATGGAGCAGGAGTCAGAAGACTCAGGTTCTGGCCTTGACTTCTAGGAAATGTTGTATAATCTTGGGGAATGAACTCGCTCTTTTCATCTGCTGCCTGGGCATTTCGTGATGGCTGTACCAATGGATCTAGTGTGAAGTGACCGACCGTATGCAAAAAGCCCCAGACCAAGCTGTAAAGTCGAATGACCACGGGGGCCCGTCAGTTAACCTCAGGGAATGACGTGTGCTAGGTTATTCTAACAAACATGTTCTTCGCTTCATGACAATTTAAGACCGATGGTCACAAAAAACATATTCTTTCATTTTTCTTGAAATGCACATCCCTGCAGGCTTGGCTTTTGTTTTTCCACTTTATAGAAACATGGGCATGACATGTATCTCTCTTTCCTCTCAACTGTACTGCTGGGAAAACGTGCACAATGGGCCTGCTGTTGGCCCTCGGCTTAGTGATGGAGAGAAACAGAGAAGCTGGGGTGGGGGACTGTGATGAACTGAAGATGACACGCGGAGTCTAAGTAGCATCAGCTTCTTAATTCAAGCCAATTAGTGCCACAAGGAAATGCTGGCTTAGTGTGGAGAATTTTCCCAGTTCCATTTTCAAAATAGAAGTCAGAAATCTATATGTTAATAGGAAATTTCCCATTTTCCAAATACTGAACATTTGAAATGAACTAGAATGGTATGTGCCCAATGATACACATATGTGGATTACCTGCAAGACCCAGCGTTCTCATTTCGAGAGCTCTTAAGGGCTTACCCGGTCTTTTTCACACCCCAGAGCCCTCCCTCGCTTCTCCCCAGCAGAGACCACTTGCAATTCAAAGCAGAAAAGGCGAGGACTTACTATGGGGCTGCTGAAGGCCACAGGGGACTGTGCATTTTCCCAGCGCCCCACGGACCTTTGTCGAGAGTGACGCTGGATGGGGACCTGGACACTCTGGCTCCTCTTCAGGGGCTGAACCCCTCCTTGGCTTCTCGTCTCTGCTGGGCCCTGGGCCCATCTGGCTGGGAAGGACAGGCACCGGTACTGGGTCCACTCTTCGTGGTCAGCGTCCAGCTCCTTTGGGGTCTCCAGTCGCTTGGCTGCAACAAAAGAGGGCTGTCATTGCCCTGGTCACACCTTGGCCGGGCCGTGGCTGGGAAGACCCAGGCTTTGGGAGTGGAGGTAAGAGCTGCTCCAGGAAATATGGAAATACAGAACTGGCCACTCTGACTGGAGAAAGAGGGGAGAGCTAAGTCATACAGGTTCAAATCCTGGCTCTACTACCTCCTAGCTACGTGACTTTGAGCTTTGACTAAACCTGTGCCTCTACTTCTTCAAAAGTACCCAATTCATAGGGTTGTTTTGAAGACTTAATGATATAGTGTGTTCAAGTGATCTGCATACTCTTAAGTATTGATAATGGTAGCTGCTTTTATTATTATTAGAAGGACCAGAAGCTCCCATGTAAATGGCTACCACCATGGCAAAGGGGATTGGGTGACTTACAATACCTCCTCCTTTGCTTTTCTTTATCCCTGCCACTCAAAAGAATGAATGCTGCTCTCTTGAGAGTTTCTGCTCTTCGTTAGAAAGTGTGTATGTGTGTGTGTGTGGGGGTGGGGGTGGGGTGGAGCTGACGGGATCAGGTCAGCTTTACAGGCCACCTTCAGTCCATGCAAGATGACACTCCAGGCATTTTACAGTCAAAGCTTTGCCTCAGTCACATCCAAGACATCAGTTAGTATGGAAGGCATTTCTTGGATGTATCAAACATGACCATGTGCCTCGACCTAGGCCGGTCCTCTCAGGTAAGGTGACCCAAGAAATTCTTAAATTGCTGTCTGACTGGTACATAATTGGGACATGTCCCCAGTCCGTTCCTGATAGATAAAGATGCTGTGTGTAAATGGCACCAAAGACCAACCGAAGTCTACTGCCCCGGGGATCACTGATGGCCTTTGTGAAGAAAGGAAAGTTGACTGGTGATGGGAACAGCGCTGGTGTGACCAGGAAGCCCACAGGGATATGGAAGCTACTTTCCACGGAGCCACCAGCCTGTGTGGGGAGCCAGGACAATGTCCTCTGTCACCAATCCTGGGAAAGCGGGGTGATTCCTTTAGGAAGAGGAGTGGGTACCCCGGGAGTCTTCATACCATTTTCTTGGTGAGGATACTCGTGGCCCATGATGGTGCAGCGCCGGAACACCATCTTGTTCTCGGTCAGCGTCCCCGTCTTGTCAGAGAAGATGTGCTGGATCTGGCCCAGGTCCTCTGTGATGTTGAGGGCACGACACTGGATGGATGAGTCAGTCTCTTCGTCGTACAGGTCGAGGTCATGGTGCAGGAAGAAGATCTGCCCGAGCTTCACCAGCTCAATGGACACGTACAGGGAGATCGGGATCAGCACCTGCCGGGAGAGGAGTCCCCTCGCATCAGAACCAGGCTGGCTCCCCATCTCGGGACCCCGTGGGTGGGTAGCAGAGGCACTTAATGGAAAGCTGAGGCCAGCTCATGGGATGGACTGCCTCTGAGCAATGAAAGGTCAATGCCTCCCCTGGAATTCTCAGGGGCATCTGAAAAACAGCATGCCGTCTGTTTGGCCATGCTACCCTGAACAAGCCCGATCCCGTCTGATCTCGGAAGCTAAGTAGGGTCAGGCCTGGTTAGTACTTGGATGGGAGACCACCTAGGAAGACCAGGTGCTGTAGGCGTAAAAATAAAAAAAAATAAAAAAATAAGGGATTGTGAACTGACAAGGTCCTTGTAATATGTGAGGTCAACCAAGTGTTGACTCGCCTAAAAAAAAAAAAAAAATGAAAAGCAGCATGCCTTCTTCAGCCAGTGTGTCTGGTACGAGGCAGGTACGCCCTGTCGGCTGTTTAGTGGCTGGGCAGGAAGTGGGTGAGGAGCTCTGGTGGCCCTGTCCGGCCTCCCGACGCCACACCGAGGGTGGCCGCCCACTTTGACAGGCATTCAGACCCAGTGTTGATGACTGACTCAATACCTAGTATCTGTTGATCGCTCCTTCTGTGTCCCATGTTGCTCTAGGTCCTGGACATGGCAGTGAGTGGAAGAAAATTCCCAGCTGTGAAGGCCTCACATTCCAGTAAACAAACAAATAGACATATATGGGGTGGTGATAAGTCTCATAAAGAAAAGGCAAAAAGGAAGAGGCTCATGGCTGGGAAGGACTCTTCTATAAACCATGAACTTTGAGCAGACACTTGAAGAAATGGGGGTGAGTTGTGCAGTTATCTGTGGGAAGAGATGCATTTGGGGCCAAGGCTGGGCCATGGGGATGGGCCGGGTGTCGGGTGGGATAAGGGTAAGCAGGCCGCGCATGTGAGCAGGACATGGCCAGGAGACAGCAGGGAGGGAGTTGGGGTCGAGATCATACAGGACTTGTTGGCTTTTGCGATGAGGCCTTGGGATTTCACTTTGAAGGACGTGAGACCACTAGAGGGTTCTGTGCAGAGCGGGGGTATAATCTGATTCACATGTAAAAAGGATTACTCTGCTAAATGAACGAACGCGCCAATGCTTAAAAAGGATCACCTATCAGAGGACAATGCGACATCCTCAAATAGTATAAGATATTGAACGTAGATGAAGCTTCATCAAAACAAAGCTACAAATTTCCTCATTTTTTCATAGATTGTAAGTTCTTATAGAGGCTGAAGACTTTTAAAATTCATGTTTTTATTCCTTACTACCTCTCTCATGTAGGTGCTCTGTGTTTTTGTATTTTTCTCCTATATAGGACCAGTTCTGGGTCTTTTTTTCTTCCCCCATCTCAATCTGTCAAATGCTAAAACACTAACCTGTGGTTTCTTTCCATGCCTAGGGCTTGACAGCTCTCTGTAGTTGTGTGTGCTACTTCATCTTCTTTTCTCCCCAGGTTATTAGGGTTTTACCTGTTGTATAGGTGGCAAAGGGCCAGGCACACATGGGTCACTGCTATAATCTTACTCTTTATAGAAAAGCCTGATAAATATTTTCTTCTGCTATTATCTGGGGACAGGTTCCCCTCCACAAGGCAGGGCTTGTCCAACATTACCCCAAATGTGAATACTTTCAAAGACCCACAAGAAAGCAATGAACATTTATTTCCCTATCTCAGTCCAGTTAGTTCTTGGGGCCAGCACTGATTTTTCTTTATTTCACAAAGTGGTGCAGGTACTGGCCCTCTAGGTAGAAAGGTCCCCCTACCTGGAGCAGGATGATCATTGTGAGGAACATGTAGAAGCCCCCAAGGGCAAGGGGAAGGAAGCTGCCCTTGGCATCTGGCACGTCGAAGGGAGGGTGTTCTCTAAAAGTCCCATTCCAGAGGCCGTGACCTGAGAGGAGGCAAAGCCAGGATGAGACAGAAACTCCGCATAGTCCAAAAAATGATCAGTTATATCAATCCTTAGTCAATTCCCTGGAATGAGTGTACTTTGATGGAGCCCATCTCTATTCTATACAGCATAGCTGTGTGTGTGTGTGTTCGTTCAGCTCTCAAGTGGTCCTGCACGTACCCTACGTTTCAATCTCCAGATAGACATGAGGGCTGTCCTATCAGAGGAGACCAGCATGGGGATTACTTACATTGTGATGAACTTGTTACACGGGTGTTGGAAAGAACAGGACACTAGTTTGTTTTAGTTGTGTGGTGGAAAGTGCATGGCTGGGAAGTCTTAACAGACCCTTACCCTAGAGCCTCTTCTCCCCGCCGCCCCATACACATCCATCTATCCACCTACCCATCCATCCATTCATCCATCCACTCACCCACATCTCTCTTTATCTACTCTTCCCTGCTTCCTTTCCTCTCTCCCTCTATCCAATTAATTTATTAATTCTGGAAGGAATTGGTCCAGTTCTTCTCTTTGAGGAGTTCCCTACCAAATCAGGGAGTCGAATATAAAGGGACGAATCCCACATAGTGTGAGAGGTGCTATGCTAGAGCCTGGAATGCTATGAGAACTCATAGGAACAGCACCTGATACAGACTGAACCTCTGTTTCCTTGTCTGCAAATGGGGACACCACCACCTATCCTCTGAGGATTGATAAGATGAAGTACATCCAGCACCTGCTGCAGAGCTCTCCGAATCTCAGCATCCTCATCTGTCAGTTAGTAATAATACCTTCTCCATAGGGTTTTTCTGAGACTAGAATAACATAATACATATAATGCTCTCAGCTCCAGGGTAGGAACTACAAGAAATAAGACATGAGTTTTTAGTCATATTACAGGGCAGAAAGGGCCAACTGCATGGCACAGAGTAAGGGCCACTGGCCTTCAGAGGAGCCTGAGACCCGGGGAGAAGCTCGAGAAGGCTGCATGGAGAAGGAAGCCTTGAAGGATCCTGGAGCCTGGGAGGGTGTGGGCTGATCGGGAAGGCTTGGGGAAGGCATTCTGGGTGAAGAAAAAAGCAGCACCACCCTTACACAATCAAAGTAAACACGTGATAAAGGACCGGGAAATGGAGCTCAGTAAGAGCTTTCACCTCCCGCAAAGGCAGTGCTTTAATAATAAAGTGCCACCAGGGGCCCGTCAGTCAGTGCGCACGTGTCACTGTTCTCAGAAAGAATAGAATTCTGCCCTTCCTCCCCATAACTTTGTCAATTTATCATTTGGGTAATCTGCCAAGCTGATTCTGGTTTGCCTGCTCCTTATCTCGCTGTGTGACCTTTTAATCATTAACTTCCTTTCTCTGGAGACACAGTGAGATGATCTCAAACGTCCTTTCCAGCTCTAATGCTCCTCGAAAAACCTGTCCCAAAGCAGAGACGACAGTTCCTGCAGCCTCTCAGAGGGCCTGGAGGTGGCCGCACAGGGACAGTTTCTTGCTTGCCTGTTTCCCTCCCCTCCAGGTGCTCTCTCCCCAGCTGTGAGCCACATCTGGGAAGCGTATTAATTAAAAACTCCAGGCCACCGGCAAGACTAAATCTCACCGTCTTTACCGTGGAGACACACAAAATCTTCCCAGGCCCTAGGAAGATCTTCGCCTTTCAGATATTCTCTTCTAAAAACAGTGGTGAATACAGTTTCTGACAATGGCACGTACAGAGCGAGCCCCACTGCCACTCACTGGTGTGGGCCGGCAGGGAGTTCTGGACTCAGCATACGAGTTCTTTTTCTTGGTCATCCCCGGTTCTTTTTGGGGTCTCCTTTAGGGCCCTGAGAACCACCCTTACAGGTGAGCCGTAGAGGGGGTAAGTGGGTGAGAGCATGGGTC